ATTAATTACGCGGTGCACAATAATTCGTGGGCAACCTCACCGATGGAGCTCCTCCTGCCTGCGGGGATGATCCTCGGCCTCGTCCTCGGTGTTTCGTCTCGTCAGCGAGGTTCACAAGCGCACAAAACAATCCGACTAATGCTTCTGACTGTTTCAGTCGAGCGGCCGCGACAAAAGTGCGCCCTGGATCTCGCGATCCAGGGTCGATGGCGGGATCGTTGGCCGCGCAGGGGGATGCGCGGACCCCCGGCCAATTAGCGGCCGACACGCGCGAGGTCCTGGTGCCTCGTGCGCCACGCGAGGCATTATCGCGCCCCGCGCGAAATAGCGCCAAATCTGAATGCTGTCGCGGGCCCTTGTATGGCCCGGGTGAGGTCCTTCACGGACTTATCCTCTCCTGGAGGATGGCTGTCGCAACGGCTGTCGCTTCCGGCGGTCGTGGAGAGGCGATGCTGCTCTCCCCTGCCCGGGTTCACAATGCAGGGCTCTCTGGGCCAGGATCCTCGGCTCTTATGAATTTCCCTCGGCTGTCGTTTTTAACCGTCGTTTTTAGCTGTCGCGGAGAGGCGATGCTGTTCTCTCCTGTTCTTCGGTGATGAGGTGCCTCGATCCGGACTCGATACAAAATAAAAAATACAAAAAAAAACAATTACTATTATACGCAACTATACCAATTCGCTCGTCTCTCCGGGGAGTACGGTAGCTCTCTCTCTTTCTTGACCTTTGGCGCGGCCACTCGGCTCCCGCCGCGCCCCGTCAAAATTGCCGGGGCGGATAGACGCGACGGGACGGCCACGTCACATCACATATTTCCACAAAGTTATACACTTGGCTGTATATAACATCACCACGCACGAAACAAAAGACTTTCGCATTTAACAAAAGCAAAAATCGCATGTAAGCTCGACGCTACTGACGCCGGTTTCGAGACGCTGCCTGCAGCGCATGTGCTTCCCAAGTTATAACTGCGAAAAAGACAGCAGATTATATGTCTGTGCTCTTCTGTCCAAAGCTAACCGAGCGCTAAGAACGTAAACAGACACGGTTTTTTCTTTGTATGCGCTGCGGGCAGCTGCTTGAAACTGGCATTACTTGCTTGGCGCTTCCGAAAAAGTAGAAGAAGATAAATATACTGTTTTTATCTTCTTTTTATCAAGCCAACAACGAAAGTGACGGTCGATCGTTTTTAATAATATAATAGTAATAAATTTTAAATAAAATTATAAATATTATTCATACATAAAACAAATTTCTTTACAATATATTCTTTGCAATATATTCTTTACAATATATTTACTAATAATGATTAAAGAAGTTATCATTAAACATTAAAAGGCCTAATTACCATAAAAAGTAATTTTGCTAAAAAGTATATATTTTCAACTGTTTAATACTGTAATAACTGTTAGTAGTAGTTAATAGTTTGTAACTGCAGCATCATGTTTTATTAAAATTATTGGATTATATTTTTTAAATTCATATTAGTTTTCTAGATTAACTAATTTGAATTACTAGAATGATACTAAAACTGAGTTTGTTCTATGAACATGTTGACAATTGCTTTTAGTAATTTTCTCGCTACACTAACAAATCTGCTTAATTATAAATATTAAATTTATGCAACAAAATGTAGCTTTGCTAATTCAACAATTCCATTTTTTTCCCTGTACAAATTTCTTTTTGAACGTATTTTTTGAGTCTACGTTTTTTAAAAGAAAAATTAAAATATTAAAATATTGTGAATTAATAATTCTGTGACGTTGCCGTCCCGACGCGCGCTGTCCACCTGCCCCGGAAATCTTGACGGGGCGCGAGCCGAGCGGCCGCACCAGAGAAAGATTGCAAGAGCCGTATCGAAATATCCGGAGAGACGAGCCGTAGTGGTATTTCGCGTTCGTTAATAATTATTTTTTGTTATTTTTTTTATTATCCTGTATGTTAGGCAACCCGCCGGAGAACATCTTGAGGAAGAAGAAGAAGAGGGATTGTTACAACAGCCGATCCGGCGCGCTCGGCTTTCTAATCAAGAGCGGAGATAGTGCCTGAACATCAAAACAGCGCAGAGTCGAGAGGGAAATTCGCTCCAACCGCCAGAGGAAGAAAAGCCGGAAAGAAACAGTTATTGTAGACCGGGGGTATATAACGCTACTCTCCAAGGATAGAGAACGGACGATCATCCTCGGGAGGACCGTCGATAGCCGGGTCGTCGACAGCAAGATTTTCGAATATTCGGGGCCGTTACGGCCCCCGATACGGCGTTGTCGCGGGGTGCATTAATACCTCGCGTGTCGCGGCGCTATTGGCCGCGAAGCCGCGCACTCCTGCGCGTAGGAATTGATGCCGCTATCGATCGCGAGATCCAGGGACTCACTCTGGTGCGGACGGTCATATCGTGTAGTTGATTTGAGTCTTGTTCGTCGTGTGTCGCTATCAAGATCTGACCGAGAGGATGAGCCGAGGATCATCCCCCTGACTGCGGGAGCAAGGATCGTTGAGATTACTCATCGCTATATTGAAAGTCACGTACGCGATTCCGTCCGTAAGCCGGCTGTCTTGTCGCCGTCGCTATTTTCGTGTCACGTTGTCGCTCGGGCTTTGTACCGAGCTCGCATGCATTTCGGGCGACCGGAGACAAGCGACTGAGGCATTAAGGACGATCGTAACGTCGGCTGTAATCGATAAAGAACCGTTCGTCTCTCTCCGGAATTCGGGGTGTCGTAAAACGCGTAGCGAACCAGCTCTCGTATATCGATCACGTGCGCAATAAATCGCGGGGATTGCGTTCACTATCCGTGCTGTTGAAAAGAGTTGTCGAAGCCGCGTAAGACATTCCCGTAATCGATCTTCGTTAATTAGCGTGTATGTGAGGGTGTGACCGCTGCGTATCGTGACGTGAATATCGTGCTATCTTTGTCGCGCTCGTTACGAGTGTGAATTGTATCTATTTTGTGATATTTGTCGCGTAAGTAAGTGTGTCGCGATGCGTAGATTTCAACAAATTAAGAGATTGCCGAAAGTTGAGAATTTGCGTAAAAAAAGGCGTTACGCCGAGAAGAAAACCGTCATCCGACGGCTAAATATCGATCGTATCGACCGTGCTTGTCGCAAGCGAGATTCTCCGTCTTCGTAAATTAATCATTCTCGATTATTACTCAATCTGTCGAATATATTGCTGTTGTTTAGAGAATCGAGTAAAAGAGAAAAAAGGATAAAATCTGTACAAGAATCTGACGAGTAGATCGAAATTTTCATTACATTTTCGAAGCGCCGCACAGTGAAGCGAAATGAGAAATCGTATTTCATAATTGTCTACAATCTTCAATTCCTAACGATTTTAATGCTTTTTTTAAAATTAAAGCTTATTTAATTGCTAATAAAGTTATCGAAGCCGATTTTTTAATTTGGGCTTTTTTTCAAAATGGCGGATGTAATATGGCAGCTGAAAAATAGGAAATTAAATCGATTTATATCAAATTATGTGTATACATGTTTTTGATGTTACAGATTATAAATCTATTATTAAAATTACAAAATTAACTATATAATAAATTGAATATGACTGCCATAAACAATAAAAATATTATGTATATGAATAAATGATAAATGAATCGTTACGAACCGATTAACACAGCATAGGAATAAATATTTTTATGGTCTTTAATTGTAAATATGTTATAATAATTTAAGGTCACTGATTATTCGCGCGAATAGTTATACTTCCCTTATAATCCCCTTATAGAACAGTGTTATTTTCACGTTTTATCTAACAGTAATTGTTGAGCTTCGATGTCAATATCTTTCGAAGAATGTTTCCATTGATTCCGTTGACTACTTATATAGAGATCAGATGAAATTAATAGCTTTTTAATAATATCTTCATTTCTTGCACTTCTACAATGTTTTCGCGTGTGGTATTCTCTAAAACGTTTGAAATATTTATTATGTATTACATGCTTCCTGCGCTTCTTTGTGAGCCTGAGCCTCCCCTTCTTCCGAACCCTGACTCCGGCGAGCCGATCCGCGGCATCGGGAAAGGTATTCCGTTACAAAGTTAACTTACAGCAACTGTTAGATCACACTGTTAATTGCATATTATTAATTCTAAATGTTGAACTTCCACTTGCTGTACAAGAAAAAATGTCATTACGGTTGATAACAAAATGGGGATGTGATGAAGCATCAGGACATACAAAATATAAATAAAAGTTTGCTGATGAAACATTATCAGATGAAAGTATTTTCATGATTTTCATGGTTCCTTTACGTTTAGAAATTAACATTTCATTTGAATGGAAAGAGCTATGGAAAAATCCTCGCCCATCATTAACAAAGTATTGTCGACCCATTAAATTTGAATATGCTTCCGAATAAAAAAAAAAAATATTTGAAGTTAATCAAATAAAAAATTCCTACTATTATAGATACTGGCACGGGTTACTACGAACTGAAACATAAAATGATTTTAACAATGATAGATGGAAAAGTATGTCAGGCCTTAACTGGAACATTATCTGCATCAACATGTATGATATGCGGAGCAAAACCATCCGAAATGAATAATTTTTCTAAATTAAAAAACAAGCAAGAAATTGTACAACATTTTGAATATGATCTCTCAACATTGCACGCGTGGATTCGATTTATGGAGTGTATATTGCATATATCTTATCGGCTAAGTTTTGTTTGGGTTGAGTAAAAAGTCATTGCGTATTTTTTGTATGTTTTTCAAAGTCAGTTTTTCAAAGTTATTTATATGAAGAACAAAGATCAATCAATGATATATTGTCCGTTTTGTTCGATGACCTTTTGCCATCTTTCAGTGAGCTTCATAATTCCCCGTAGAAGGACCTGTCTTTATTGGCGAAAAACTGAATAAAGTGCTGATTTACCGCCTCATCTGAATTAAATGTTATTCCACGCAAGGAGTTTTGAAAAGAGCGAAACAAGTGGAAGTCTGACGGCGCAAGGTCAGGCGAGTATGCTGGGTGGGGCAACACATCTCATGCAAGCTCTAATAATTTTTGACGGGTCGCCAAAGATGTGTGTGGTCTCGCGTTGTCGTGATGGAACACAACTCCTTTACGATTGACAAGCTCCGGACGTTTCTGGATGACAGATTCGTTCAAACTGTCCAATTGCCGACAGTACACATCCGAATTGATTGTTCGGTTCCTTGGTAGGGGCTCAAAAAACACCACACCCTTCCAATCCCACCACACTGAGAGCATAATCTTCCTCTGATGAAGTTCTGCTTTTGAAGTTGTTTGAAGCGAATCATCACGTCGGGACCAAGACCGTTTGCGTTCCACATTGTTGTAAACAATCCACTTCTCATCGCCAGTTATCATTTGTTTTAAAAAAGGATCGTTTTCTTCACGTTTTATGAGCATATCGCAGATGTTTATACGCGCCGTCAAATGAACTTCTTTGAGTTCATGAGGAACCCAAACATCGATCTTGCTTACGTATCCCAGCTTCTTTAGGTGGACACTTTTTTGACTGATCTTCAATGTTTCTGCAATCTCTCGTGTCGTGTAACGTGGGTTTGACTTGATCAATGCCTTTATTTTGTCGTCATCAACCTCGGTGGGCCTTCCTGACCGAGTAGCATCTTTGAGATTAAAATCACCAGCGCGGAATTTCTTGAACCAGTTTTGGCACTGGCGTTCTTGTAGAGCATCGTCACTGTAAACTTTACGCAATTTTTCATAAGCTTGACGCGCGTTCTTCCCTTTACGGAAATAAAACAGTAAAATATGGCGAAAATGCACAGCTTGGCCTTCCATCCTCAACTTGTTGTAAAATCTCCAAAAACTCAACTAAATCGTTCAATTTTTTTTTCAAATGAAGCTTAAACCGTCAGCTGTTAAACGGCATATGACAAACATATGTGTGAATGACTCTAGTATTGCCAAAACTGAATTAATGCCATCTGTTGCAAAAATACGCAATGACTTTTTACTCAACCCAATAAATGGGCTGCAAAGGAACCTCAGGATAATATGGAGAAAACCAAAAAAAGTTCAAGAAGAATTTAGAAAACAAATGGGTCTGTATATAGATATTCCACAACAAGGTTCAGAATCCTCAAACGATGAGAACACGGCGAGAAGATTTTTTTAGAGATCCTGAAACAACTTAAAAAATAACTGGTGTTAATGAAAATCTTATTCAAAGATTTGGAATTATTTTAGAGACGTTTGTTTGTGGAAGAAAAATAAATATTGTTCAATTTGAAAAATATACATTTGAAACAGCAGAACTGTATATAAAACTTTATCCCTGGTATTACATGCCTGCTTCAGTACACAAAATTCTTTTTCATGGGAGCAAGATTATAAAATTACATTTATTACCAATCGTGAATTATCTGAAGAAGCGCAGGAAGCACGTAATAAATATTTCAAACGTTTTAGAGAATACCACACGCGAAAACATTGTAGAAGTGTTACAAATGAAGATATTATTAAAAAGCTATTAATTTCGTTTGATCTCTATATAAGTAGTCAACGGAATCAATGGAAACATTCTTCGAAAGATATTGACATCGAAGCTCAACAATTACTGTTAGATGAAAATAACACTGTTGTATAATGGGATTATAAGGGAAGTATAACTATTCGCGCGAATAATCAGTGACCTAAAATTATTATAACATATTTACAATTAAAGACCTTAAAAATATTTATTCCTATGCTGTGTTAATCGGTTCGTAACGATTCATTTATCATTTATTCATATATATATTATTTTTATTGTTTATGGCAGTCATATTCAATTTATTATATAGTTAATTTTGTAATTTTAATAATAGATTTATAATCTGTAACATCAAAAACATGCATACACATAATTTGATATAAATCGATTTAATTTCCTATTTTTCAACTGCCGTATTACATTCGCCATTTTGAAAAAAAGCCCAAATTAAAAAATCGGCTTCGATAACTTTATTAGCAATTAAATAAGCATTTAATTTAAAAAAAGCATTAAAATACGTTAGGAATTGAAGATTGTAGACAATTATGAAACACGATTTCTCATTTCGCCCCACTGTGAGGAGGGGAGGAGCGATGAGTGTGTAAGCGCAAAGGCTCCTCCCCTCCCCAATCACCGCTTCGCCGCGCGCCACCATTATGTTACAGTCAGACCGCCTTCGCCGTCGTGTGCTTCTAGCCACGCGCATTGGCCGATCTTCTTTATTTAATTTTTCGTTAATTATTACGACAATCACAAAACAATAGAGATCCTTCCTTCTTAATTTGAACTAATCTACCTCCTTACTTCGTTAAGATCAAAAATTCCCTGCCACCCTGTATATACAGGGTGTCCGATTCGTGAGGGATCAAACGAAATGGGATGATAGATTGGGTCAAACTAAGAAGAATAGTTCTCTATCATTTTGCAAAATTCACAATAATTATTAAGTAATAAGCAAAAATGTACATACATATACATACATGCATACATATGTGTGCATATATACATACATGCATACATACATATGATGATAGATTGCGTCAAACTAAGAAGAATAGTCCTCTATCATTTTGCAAAATTCGCAATAATTTTATTAAGTAATAAGCAAAAATCTCGGCGCATGAGAAACGGTAGACCGTATCGACCGGCGAGCGACGAGCGACACGCGACATATGATACCGCGCCGAACAGTATTAAAAAGTATTGTCTTTTCGTTTCTTCGATAAAATGATGCGCTATCATTTCAGTACCATCTTGCGGTAGATAGCTTGGTGCGTTTTTTTTTTTTTGGTATTATCATCAATTTTTCATATTCGCGGATTAATTTAAAAGTGAAACAACTATAGTAAATATAGAAAATATGAACAAAATTCTTCGTGCAATGTCAGCGGAATTTGTCTTATCCCGACAATATTTTGTGGACCGACGAAGCGACTTTCACACCGAGTGGCGTGTAAAAAAAATTAAAAAACGCACCAAGCTATCTATGGCAATGTGGTGTGGAAATGAAAGCTCATCATTTTTCCATCGCCAAAGAAACGAAAAAAATTCTTTTTAATACTGTTCGGCGCGGTATCATATGTCACGTGTCGCTAGTCGCTCGTCGCTCGCCGCTCGATGCATGCGGTCTACCGCTTCTCATGCGCCGGAACAATTTTGCTTACTACTTAATAAGTATTGCGAATTTTGCAAAATGATAAAGGACTTTTCTTCTTAGTTTGACTCAATCTATCAACACTTTTCGTTTGGTCCTTCACGAATCGAACATCCTGTATATTATATATGTCGCTCTTCCTATACCTATGTGAATCTTTTTTTGGAAAAATATATGTATATTTTTTGTTACCGTTAAACTTTTCGTCTTCCTCGTCGTCCATTTCATTTTCCTCATTTTCCTCCTTTTCATCTTTTTCATCCATCATCGCTTTCATGTCTGCTCCTTTATCAATTCCTACCGCCATTTCTTCCATCTCAATTATATGTGCTCCTGTTGAATGGAAAAAAGAAAGATTAGGAACAATTATCTATAAAGTTTATCTTAACGAAACACATGTACACATTTATACAATTTTAATGTTATTTTTAATGGGAACGAATATTAATTCTATAATCTTGTATCTATATATTTCGCTCTTGTATACTAGTGTGTGTGCGTGCGTGTGTGTGCATGAGTATGTAACAAATACATGTATACATATTTAATATTAGTTTTAATGCTAACGTTAATTCCATGATATATACATATATTTCGCTCTTTTATTTCAAGATCTTTTTATACAAAGACATATTTTTTTACTTACTTGTGTCTTCTATACTTTGCCCGTCCTGTTCTGCTCTTCTTGGTAAATGTTCGAAATGAGAGTACGATGTAGAAGCTATAAAATTTATTTTGATGTAGCACATACATTGTTAACGTTATTTTTAATGGAAACGAATATTAATTTATAATGTTGTATGTATACATTTTGCTCTTCTATACTTGTGTGTCTGCGTGCGTGCATGTGTGGTATGTGTATGTGTGGATCTTGCTTTGCAAATATATTTTTTTTACTTACCTTCGTCCTGCTTATCATTTTTATCCTTTTTATCTTCCTCGACCTTTTTATTTTCTGTATCTTTATTCACCTCCTCTGTTCCTTCGATCTCTTTTATTTTTTCTCCTGTTGAATTGAAAAAAGAGAGAAATTAGGTACAAAATTATCTATAAAATTTATCTTTACAAAACACATGTACGCATACTTAATGTTAACAATATTAGTTCTATAATATGTATATACATTCGCTCTTTTTATATATGCCAAACATCTTTTTATGTAAAAACATATACTGTCCGATTCGTAAGGGACCAAACGAAAAGTGATGATAGATTGAGTCAAATTAAGAAGAAAAGTCCTCTACCATTTTGCAAAATTCGCAATACTTATTAAGTAATAAAGCAAAAATGTCCCGGCGCATGAGAAGCGGTAGACCGCATGCATCGAGCGGCGAGCGACGAGCGACACGCGACATATGATACCGCGTCGAACAGTATTAAAAAGAATTTTTTTTTGTTTCTTTGGCGATGGAAAAATGATGCGCTATCATTTCCACACTACATTGCGATAGATAGCTTGGTGCGTTTTTTAATTTTTTTTACACGCCACTCGGTGTGAAAGTCGCTTCGTCGGTCCACAAAATATTGTCGGGATAAGACAAATTCCGCCGACATTGCACGAAGAATTTTGTGCATATTTTCTATATTTATTATAGTTGTTTCACTTTTAAATTAATCCGCGAATATGAAAAATTGATGATAATACCAAAAAAAAAAAAAAAAAAACGCACCAAGCTGTCTACCATAAAATATCTAGTAAAATATGCATTTTTCGATTATCTTACCTTAATACATTTATGTACAAAATAATGAGAGAAAACAATTGGTGTAAAAAAAACACATAGTTCTTTCAAAGAAAAAATATGTAATTGTTAATTGCAAATTACGTATTTTTTCTTTGAAACAACTATGTGTTTTTTTTACACCAATTAATTTCTCTCATTATTTTGTACATAAAAGTATTAAAGCAAGATAATCGAAAAATGAATATTTTACCAGATATATTACGGTTTATGTTAAATTAAGAAATGATTTCAAGCCTCATAACTCGAAAAGTACTCGATAAAAAAATATTTTATTATAATGTTTTGGAAAGCTCTCGAGATAAGCTACAAGAATATGTAATGAGAAAATGTAGGTTCCATTTAAGAAATTGAAGGTGACCTTCATGTGACCTTCAAATAACTCTTCAAGGTCAAATCAATGGTACCATCTTATGTCCCCCTAGAAACCATACAACTTTTGTCTGAAAAATTTTTCTCTCTCGGACTTGGTTTTCGGGATATTCGACTGGATGGATTAAAATGGGACACCCTGTATATATATATATATATATATATATATATATATATATATATACAGGATGACCCATTTTAACTTAGGCAGCTAAATAACTCGAAAAATAAGCACACTACGAAAAAATGGTTACAATCAAAATTTCGTCATTTCGAGGGGGACGTACAATGACGTTAAAATCAGCCCCCCCACCCCTCCCCCTGGGCGGTGAGGGGGGACAAGTTTGAAATCTTAAATGGAACCCCCTATTTTTCATTGCATATTCTTGTAGCTTATCTCGAGAGCTTTCCAAAACACTATAATTAAGTACCTTTTTATTAAGTACTTTTTGAGTTATAAGGCTTGAAATAATTTCTTAATTTTACATAAACCATAAAATATCTAGTAAACCATTCATTTTTCGATTATCTTACCTTCATACTTTTATGTACAAAATAATGGGAGGAATCAATTGGTGTAAAGAAAACACATAGTTGTTTCTAAGAAAAAATATGTAATTTGCAATTAACAATTCCATATTTTTTCTTAAAAACAACTGTATGTTTTCTTTACACCAATTGATTTCTCTCATTATTTTGTACATAAAAGTATGAAGGTAAGATAATCGAAAAATGAATGGTTTACTAGATATTTTATGGTTTATGTAAAATTAAGAAATTATTTCAAGCCTTATAACTCAAAAAGTACTTAATAAAAAGGTACTTAATTATAGTGTTTTGGAAAGCTCTCGAGATAAGCTACAAGAATATGCAATGAAAAATAGGGGGTTCCATTTAAGATTTCAAACTTGCCCCCCCTCACCGCCCAGGGAGAGGGGTGGGGGGCGCTGATTTTAACGTCATTGTACGTCCCCCTCGAAATGACGAAATTTTGATTCTAATCATTTTTTCGTAGTGTGCTTATTTTTCGAGTTATTTGGCTGCCTAAGTTAAAATGGGTCACCCTGTATATATATATATATATATATATATATATATATATATATATATATATTAATATTTCTTTAAAATTTCTATTTACTTTGTAATTTAATTTTTAGATAAGTTAAAAACATTCACGTGACCAGACAAAGCTACACAGGTACTTCTATTAATTGAAATGTATACAGAAAAGGAGGAAGAATTCTTAAGTGGTTTCAAGCGAAGCAACAAAATTTGGGCTGAAATTGCTGTTGAAATGAACAAAATCAATCTTGCCTATAAGTAACAGCACAACAATGTACATCAAAAATGTATGGCTTGAAGCGAACTTATAAAAATATTGTTGATATGAACAAGAAAAGCGGCAATAATAGAAATTCGTGGGCATTTTTTTACAGTAGGCGCCAACAATGCCTTAACATATGAAATTAGTCGCATTCCGAACTAATAATAACTAGTTATTATTAAGTTATTATTAGTCTCGAATGCGACCAATTTCATACATTAAGGCATTATTGCGCCTACTGTACATACACACATATTTTATTGTATGCAACATATATAAGTGTGCAACATGCACATGATATATTTGTATATCATTTAATACATTATTCTTATTAAATTGATAAATAATACGGCTCTATGTTTAATACTCTATGTTTAATACGGCTCTATGTTAAATTGATAAATAATACGGCTCTATATTTAACAACATGATAATTAAGAAACGAGCAATAAGAACCTAAAAAACGCGGATGGCAAAGCGTAAATTTTTTCGAACATTAATTGTTCGCGAAAAAATTTTTAAGACATATACATATATGCCAAGTTATAAATTCTCTTGGTTTGAGACTTCTATAACACCTCCTTTACCCCCCTGGAGAGATGTAGACATGAAAAATATCGGGGCGAAGTCGCTGAATCGGAAATCGAAATGAGTCTTTCGCTTGCTGGGCGACTGCTCTTACCACATGATAACGCATCATTTTATCGAAGAAATGAAAAGACAATACTTTTTAATACTGTTCGACGCGGTATCATATGTCGCGTGTCGCTCGTCGCTCGCCGCTCGATGCATGCGGTCTACCGCTTCTCATGCGCCGGGACATTTTTGCTTATTACTTAATAAGTATTGCGAATTTTGCAAAATGGTAAAGGACTTTTCTTCTTAATTTGACTCAATCTATCATCACTTTTCGTTTGGTCCCTTACGAATCGGACAGTATATGTTTTTACATAAAAAGATGTTTGGCATATATAAAAAGAGCGAATGTATATACATATTATAGAACTAATATTGTTAACATTAAGTATGCGTACATGTGTTTTGTAAAGATAAATTTTATAGATAATTTTGTACCTAATTTCTCTCTTTTTTCAATTCAACAGGAGAAAAAATAAAAGAGATCGAAGGAACAGAGGAGGTGAATAAAGATACAGAAAATAAAAAGGTCGAGGGAGATAAAAAGGATAAAAATGATAAGCAGGACGAAGGTAAGTAAAAAAAATATTTTTGCAAAGCAAGATCCACACATACACATACCACACATGCACGCACGCAGACACACAAGTATAGAAGAGCAAAATGTATACATACAACATTATAAATTAATATTCGTTTCCATTAAAAATAACGTTAACAATGTATGTGCTTCATCAAAATAAATTTTATAGCTTCTACATCGTACTCTCATTTCGAACATTTACCAAGAAGAGCAGAACAGGACGGGCAAAGTATAGAAGACACAAGTAAGTAAAAAAATATGTCTTTGTATGAAAAGATCTTGAAATAAAAGAGCGAAATATATGTACATATCATGGAATTAACGTTAGCATTAAAACTAATATTAAATATGTATACATGTATTTGTTACATACTCATGCACACACACGCACGCACACACACTAGTATACAAGAGCGAAATATATAGATACAAGATTATAGAATTAATATTCGTTCCCATTAAAATAACATTAAAATTGTATATTTTTCATGTCTACATCTCTCCAGGGGGGTAAAGCGGGTGTTATAGAAGTCTCAAACCAAGAGAATCTATAACTTGGTATATATGTATATGTCTTAAAAATTTTTTCGCAATTAACAATTAATGTTCGAAAAAATTTACGCATTGCCATCCGCGTTTTTTAGGCTCTTATTACTCGTTTCTTAATTATCATGTTGTTAAATACATAGAGCCGTATTATTTATCAATTTATTTAGAACTACACGCCGAGCTAAAATGATTGTGTTCTCATTATTTCCATATATTCATAAAAACGGACAGAAGTGTCGGTGTGGGGCTGAATAGCTCAGTGGTAAGAGCAGTCGCCCGGCAAGCGAAAGACTCGAGTTCGATTCCCGATTCAGCGACTTCGCCCCGATATTTTTCCTGTCTACATCTCTCCAGGAGGGGTAAAGGGGGTGTTATAGAAATCTCAAACCAAGAGAATCTATAACTTGGCATATATGTATATGTCTTAAAAATTTTTTCGCGAACAATTAATGTTCGAAAAAATTTACGCATTGCCATCCGCGTTTTTTAGGCTCTTATTGCTCGTTTCTTAATTATCATGTCGTTAAATACATAGAGCCGTATTATTTATCAATTTATTTAAAACTACACGCCGAACTAAAATGATCGTGTTCTCATTATTTCCATAGATTAATAAAAACGGACAGGAGAAGTGTCGGTGTGGGGCTGAATAGCTCAGTGGTAAGAGCAGTCGCCCGGCAAGCGAAAGACTCGGGTTCGATTCAAGATTCAGCCACTCGCCCCGATATTTTTCCTGTCTACATCTGTCCAGGAGGGTAAAGGGGGTGTTATAGAAGTCTCAAACCAAGAGAATCTATAACTTGGCATATATGTATATGTCTTAAAAATTTTTTCGCGAACAATTAATGTTCGAAAAAATTTACGCATTGCCATC